TTCCCAAAGTTTCCTAGCCAAAGAATTACTTAATGTGCCAGTTTAAAAAACAGAAATTTCTGGACAGACCTAGACTGATATGAAATTCCCTCGGTATGCTGCGAATATGTTTAATTACCATTAGTTAATAAATAATCTGCTTTTGACCTATGATAGAATAGAATAGAACAAAATGGAAATTCCAAGCAGATATAGAGAAAGTAAGAAAGCAGAGTCAGCGAGCTGCCATGTGCCATGTAGCCACCAAAAGAGAAAAATGCCTGCCTGCCAGGACCTTAGCAGTAAATCACGAGCCACATGGTAAAATGCAGAATAATATAAATGGGTTCATTTAAGATGTAAGAGTTAGTTCATAAGAATCCTAAGCTATTGGCCAAACAGTGTTATAATTAATGTAGATTCTGTGTGATTATTTCAGATCTGGATGGCTGGGAAGGAGCAAACAGTCTCTGCCTATACTAGGCCACCATGATATCCTATATTTAAAACACTCTTTTTAGCAGGAAAGATTAGGAAACATTGATCTAACAGAGTGCAGGACTGGTTGGATAAGAATACATAATTTTGCATCTATGAATGTATTTTTTTGTAAAAAATAAAAGTATGGATGGAATGTCTTATATGCCTGGCTTTGGGTTAGGAACTGGAAATGCAAGAGTAAAGCGGGACAAAGGTTCTGCTTTCCCAAAGCTTACTTCCTAAGAGAAAGTAAAATGAGGAATTATACAATCAATTCTTTACAATTATATGGAATGCTATGGAGAATTTTAGTGTCTTGTGAAGTTGCATAATGATGAGAGCTGACTTACTTAGAATTGCCTAGAGTTTACCATATAAAGATGTAAAACTTAAACTATAATTTGAATTATGAATAAAGATTGTATCATTTGGATTAGGAAAAAAAGTAATTCAAAGAAAAGGAAAGATCATTGGCTTCTGCCTAGAATGAGAGAGTGCAAAACATCCTTCAGAAATCCCGTTGAAACTTGGCTACAGAAAGGGAGTTAAATAGACAAAATGAGCTATAGCCCACACTGGTGACACACTGATATATGGCAAATCTAAGTATGTGCCAACAAGACAAGACTTAGAGCTTGGCATAAGTCCCATATTCGACTTCCGAGCTCTCCCAGTTTTGTGACCTTTCCCATGAAACTGATATGCCTCGATACCAAGAGAACAATATTCTATTATTTTGCTCACATTTCTCACTGGAGCATTTTAAAGCAGCGCAGCATAGTGGGAAAATATGAAGTTTAAAACCAAAAGACAAATTAAATCAAGCTCTATTAATCAATAAATATATGGTTTCAGGTAATTCATTTAAATTCTTTGAGTTTTAGTTTTTCTAACTGTGCAATGAATAATAGTATCTATATGATAGAATGGCTCAAGGAAACACTGAAATGATGCATGTGTAATTTCACAGACAAAAATGTATTTTAATGATGCTTCCAGCACTTACCTCTATCTGATATTGTAGAAGGATGATTTATTTATCTGAGCTTCAATTTCCCAATCTGCAAAATAATATCAAATACAATGTAAAGGTGTTATGCACAATCTCATTCAGTGTTTGATATATAGATGATATTTTATGAATGGTAGCCATGAATACCAGCATTTAGTATTTATATAACATTCTATCTCTGATGATTTCAGAGAACTATTTTGAGTACATTAGAAAAAGGTCTGAGCCAAGAATAAGGAGTCATGAGCAAGTAATTTGACACTCAAAATTTTTCTCTCATGAGAATAATCATACTGCTCAGACTATCCATAGTGCAAGAATTTTACCCCAACATATCATAGACTGATACATCTAAAAGCACTGAATCACTGAATCTTGGGTATTATTAATGTCAAAACACTTTAAAATACATAAACATTTAGTCTTACAGTACACCTGGCATAGTGTGGACAGTGAACAATCAGATCAACTCTTATTCCATGAACCACATATTGAGCTACTTTAACCAAATGGTCTCAGAAGATGCATGCAGCTTACACACACGGATGCTAAATGGAACAAATACATCACAGGAGTAGTCATGTCTACAACAAATAATTAGAATGTGAAGAAAAAGAGAGCTCTGAGAGATTGTTCCTTCAACGGTTAAAAATAGTATGGTAGCATCAGGGTGGAAATAGTTGTGATGTTCACTTTAAATACTCATCACTTGATGGGCTCTGTCAAGAGCAAGTAAGTGTTTGATTACATTCAGCTCTATAATTCAGAGCCTGACATGCTACCTATGCCATAAAAAATAATAAATACATATCAATTTGAAAGTTCCCAGATGTTGTAAAATCCAGAATACTTTTCTCTTGCAGAATGCCTGCATATTTTTACTCTATTTAGTGAAAATTATTCCCTTGGCATGTGAGGGAAAATAAGTATGCATAGTAGCTATTGTACAAAGTACACTTTGATTAAAAGCTGATGAGTATGTGTTATTCAGAGGACAGAGCCAAAGATTTATAAAGATGTGAAGACATAAGTAGGACTGTGTAGATGAGGCTGCGGGCTCGCCTGCTTTTCATCCTGCCTGGCTCCTGCATGGCTAGCTTTACACCTGAAATAACAACACACAAATTGTATTTTTTAAACACTGCCTGGCCCATTATATCTAGCCTCTTCTTGGCTAACTCTCATATCTTGCTTAACCCATTTCTAATAATCTGTGTAACACCACAAGTTGGTGGCTTACCGGGAAAGATTCAGCATGTCTGACCTGGTGGCTGGCCCCATGGCATCTGTCTCACTGCCTTCATCCTCCCAGCATTCTGTTCTGTCTACTCGATCCACCTAAGGGCTGGCCTATCAAAAGGCCAAGGCGTTTCTTTATTAACCAATGAAATCAACACAAAACAGAAGACCCTCCTACATCAGGACTGTTTGAAGCCAAGTACCAAAAAACAAGAAAGAAAAGAAAGTAGCTAGAACTGAGGCTAGGGTGATAGCTCAGTAAGACCATTTTTTGTGCAAAATGGGGACCTAGGTGAATCTCTACCTTCTGTCAATAAATCCTAGTATAGATTTGCATGCTCATAATGCCATTGTTGTGGGCAGAATCTATTGAATCCTAGAACCTCTCTGACCAGCCAACCTGGTCAAGGTTATCTGCATATATACATATGTCCTAGCTTTGAAGTCAAATTAAAAAATAATGTTATTGCCTTTTCATTGACAAGCTGTCTCTTGCCATCAGGCTTTAAACATTGTAGAAATAGAAGCCTACTGTATGCCCTCTTTCTATAACATAATCTCTCACCTACCTTAGTAAATAATTTTTGAAAGAAGAAATCATGTTACGCATTTAACATAAATATTCAATGAATATTAAATGATTGCCATTATTGTGATTATCGTGATGTCTTGTGTGTAGTAAGAATTGAATGAATGGTATTCTAATTTGAAATTCTAAATTTGTGATTGCTTATGTAGACTATTTTTAGTTTTTTTCTTATTATGACACATCCTCTGTTATTTCTCTTTCTTCAACAAACTTAACTGGCACGTAATTTACATAAAATAAAATTCACTCATTTTTTTTTTGGATTAGCAGTTTAGTGTGCTTGACACATATTATCTAATCACCATCACTGTCAAGACACAATATAGTTCCATAATCCAAAAAATTTCCTGTGAATGCTTAAAGACTATTGATATGCTTTCTATAACCACAGCTCAGTTTTGATTCTCCTTAGATTTCATTCATACTCTGTTTGGGTCTAGATTTTCCTCAACCAGTGAAATATTACAGATAATGTTATTAAATGTTACTGTTCTTCATTCCTTTATGGGCCATTGTATTCATATGTCATTTTCCATTTTTCCTCCCAACCTCCTCAAATCTGTCTTCTGAAGAAAAGCTTTTCTATGTGCCTTGATCAACAAGCTTCAGATAGTCAAAATGAATAAAAAGGTCTGTTCAGGAAATATGAATGATAAAGTTCCAGCCTAGAGCTAAAATTTCCTACCCAGTGTCTACTGTAATCCTGTGTCCTGGAAACCACCCCTCACAAATACATAAATAAAGTCAATCAACTTCGCTAAATTATTTAGACTAGCTTTGAATAAGAATAATTGCCTTCTAATTTTCTAGTCTTAAATTTCTGCTGGATAGTCATCCAGATATTAGACCTGAAGCACCACCAAACTCAGTGTTCTGGGAAAAGTATACTTATATGATCACTCTTACATAAGACATATTAGACAAATACTCCCAGAAAAATAGCAATATATATATATATATATTATATATATGTATATAGATAGATATATGTTTACATAATGGTGCATATGTGTTTATATATTATACATATACATTAATGCATTCATATATTTACATATCACTATAAGTAGCATACAAACTTGTACATGGTGAGTATTCAAAAGTGATACCTGAGCGTAATACAATTAAACAGCTTCTTGTGGAATTATTTATTCTATTACTTTAGCATCTTTCAAAACTTTGCATTTTGAGAAAAAGTCAAACCTAAATAAAATTATATTTTCAAAGTTCTATATACCCTTTATATACCTATATACCTAAAGAAATATTTAAAGATTCACCACTTGTCTCAATAACATCTTTTAGTGAAAGTATCTAATCCAGAACCAGAGACCACACTATTGTGATATGTTATTCCAGTTAATTCAAGTTCACAGTAGTTTTAGGTCTTTCTCTGATTTTTATCTACATAATTTTTAACAAATACTTTTATAGAGCAAGATATTGCTGCAGTGTTCTTCATTATGAGCTTTTCTATGGTTTCCTGATTGTACTCATTATTCAGTTTTGATTGAAATATTATAAGAATAAAGTGATGCATAATGTTGATTCATTAGTATGAGATATTGTTAAATATAGTCACTTGATTAAAATGGTATCTTCTCAATTTTTTTTTTACTATGCAATAACTCCATTTCCTACTTCATGAGGAATAACATTTAGGAAGAGAAATTAGGGGACTAAATAAAAACTCAAACATTGGTGCATGTTTTGGCAGCACATATACTAAAATTGGAGCAATTCAGATAAGATAAGCATGGCCCCTACTCAAGGATGATATGCAAATCCATGAAGTGTTCCACATTTTTATGATCTCATAACAACAAAACTCAAAAAAGGGAAAAACATACAAAATAACATCACCAGCAATGAAAACTTAACAGGAACTAGCAATTACTGGTTATTAATATCCCTTAATATAAATGGACTCAACTGACCTATAAAGAGACACATGCTAACAGATTGGATACAAAAACAGGATCCATCCTTCTGCTGCATACAAGAAACACACCTCAATCTCAAAGACAGATATTGCCTCAGAGTAAAGGATTAGAAAAAAAAATTCCCAACAAATGAAAATAAGAAACAAGCAGGCATAGCTATCCTAATATCTAAAAAAATAGACTTCAAACTAAAATCAATCAAAAGAGACAAAGAAGGGCATTTGATATTAGTCAGAGGAAAAGTCCATCAAAAAGAAATCTCAATACTGAACATCTATGCCTCTAATACAAGGGCAACCTCATCTAAAAAAAAGAAAACATATCTAAAGCTTAAATCACACATTAAACTCCACACTTTAATAGTGGGAGACTTCAGCACTCCACTTTCACCACTGGACAGGTCTGTCAGACAAAAATTTAACAGAGAAAAAAGAGAACTAACAGATGTTATGACAAATGGACTTAACAGACATCTTTAGAACATTCCATCCAAACAGAAAAGAATGTACCTCATTCTCAGCACCTCATGGAACTTTATCAAAAAGTGATCACATACTAGGTAGCAAAACAAACCTTAATAGATGAAAAACAAGTTTAAATAACCCTGTTTCTTATCAGATCACCATGGCTTCAAATTAGAATTCAACATCATCACTAATTCCAGAATGCTCACAAACACATGGATATTAAACAATGCTCACCTGAATCATCAACGGGTAATGGAAGAAATAAAGGGAGAAATTAAAGACTTCCTAAAATTCAATGAAAATGACCACACAACATACCCAAATTTATGGGACACAATGAAAGCACTGTTATAAGAGGAAAGTTTATAGCACTAAATGCCTACATAAAGGAAAATCCCACACTAGTGAATTAACAGAACATTTGAAAACTTTAGAACAAAAAGAAGCAAACTCATCCAGAAAAACTAGACAGCAGGAAATCATCAAATTGAAAACTGAAATAAAAAAAAAATAGAAACAAAAAAACAATTCAAAGAAGCACAGGTGGTTCTTTGGAAAAATCAAGAAAATAGACAAACCTTTATTCCAACTAACCAAAAGGTAGAGAAAAAATATCCAAATTAACAAAATCAGAAATGAAAAGGGGGACATAATAACAGATACCGAGGAAATCCAGCGACTCATCAGGCCATATTATACAATCTGTACTCCACAAAATCAGAAAAGTTAAAAGAAAGGAAAATTTTTTTGGATAAATATCACTTACAAAATTAAATCAAGACCAGATAGGCAAATTAATTAGATCTATAACTGCTAAAGAAATAGAAACAGTCATCAAAAGTCTCCCAACCAAAAAAAGCCCAGGATCAGATGGTTTCAGCTCAGAATTCTACAAGATTTTCAAAGAAGAACTAATACCAATGCTCCTCAAATTGTTCTATGCAATGGAAACAGAATGAACATTGCCAAACACTTTTTATGAAGCTACAGTTACCTTGATACCCAAACCACAGAAAGACATTACTAAGAAAGACAATTACAGACCAATCTCACTAATGAACATTGATGCAAAAATACTCAATAAAATACTGGCATATTGAATCCAAGAACACATCAGAAAAATCATCTACCATGATCAAGTCAGCTTTATCCCAGAAATGCCAGGATGGTTTAGCATATAAAAATATGTCAAGGGCCCTGTTTAGGTACTAAGGAGTTCCTTCTGGACAGGTGAGTGTGTGCTTTCCAGGGGCAGACTGTCCCAGAAGAGAGCACAGCCCCACCTCCCCCAGCTCCTTCTGCAGGGCTGTCTTTCTTACACCTGACACACCCCTCCCCCCACAAGCCTGCTTTTTCTGCTAGGTCCTTTGCTCAGGAACAGTTAGTTTTCTGCTCCTACACTAAGGCGACCCACCCAGAGCGGTGAGTGCCTGCCAACCAGGCAGGCCTCAAGGACCCCCAAAAGGGATCCCAGGCACCTTCAGCTTGTGCTCCAGGGGTGCCTGTGCACTCCTGGATCTTGTCCCGCCTGCCCGGTTTTTTCCTTTTGTCCCCGGATATTCGGGCTACCAGGTGGCCCTGTTTAGGTACTAAGGAGTTCCATCTGGACAGGTGAGTGTGTGCTTTCCAGGGGCAGACTGTACTGGAAGAGAGCACAGGCCCCTCTCCCCCAGCTCCTTCTGCAGGGCTGTCTTTCTTACACCTGACACACCCCTCCCCTCCATAAGCCTGCCTTTTCTGCTAGGTCCTCTGCTCATAAACAGTTTTCTGCTCCTACACTAAGGCGACCCACACAGAGCGGTGAGTGCCTGCCTAACGGGCAGGCCTCAAGGACCCCCCATCCGAAAGGGAGCCCGGGCACCTTCAGCTTGTGCGGCAGGGTGTCCTGTGTTCTACTCATCCCCACCTTACCCACCAAGTTCCCCCTTTTGTCCTCGGATCATTGGACTGCCAGGCGTCCATGTTTTGGTGCTGAGGAGTTCCATCTGGACTGGAACGGTTCCTGCTTCTACACTGAAGAGATACACTCAGAGAGTCAGTCACAGCAAAGACTGGACCAAGACACCAGGCATCTCCTGGCTCCATTTGAAGGAAGAGATGGGAAGGTGCGAAGGCAAGAATTCCTCCAACAACCTGAAAGGCAACATGACATCACCAGAATCCAGAGATCCCGAAATAAGAAGAATTGTACACCCTACTCTAGAAGAATTAGAAGAAATCGATTCAAAAGTGAATTATATGAAAATAATAGAAGACCTTAAACAGGAGGTGAAAAACTGTCATAAACAATTAGAGATCACAAACAAAAACTTAGAGGATATGAATAAAGCACTCAAAGATACCAAAGAAAACAAAGAGAAACAAGAAAAAGCAATCAAACAGATAAGGGAAGTGGTTCAAGACATGAAGAATGAAATGGAAATAATGAAGAAAACACAAACCGAGGGAAGGATGGAGACGGAAAATCTGGGTAAACGAACAGGAAATACAGAGACAAGTACTATCAACAGATTACAAGAGATAGAAGAAACAATTTCAGACACTGAAGATACCATAGAGAAAATAAACACACTGATCAAAGAAAACAGCAAAGGCAAAAAATTCTCATCGGAAAACATTCAGGAAATCTGGGACACAATAAAAAGACCAAACCAAAGAATAATTGGGATAGAAGAAGGAGAAGAAGTACAGCTCAACGGGCCAGAAAATATATTTAATAAAATTATAGAAGAAAACTTTCCCAACCTAAAGAAGGATATTCCTTTGAAGGTTCAAGAAGCATACTGAACACCGAATAGACTGGACCAAAAAAAAAAAAAAAAAAAAACAAAACATCTCGCCATATAATAATCAAAACACAAAACATACAGAATAAAGAAAGAATATTAAGAGCTACCAAGGAAAAAGGCCAAGTTACTTATAAAGGTAAACCTATCAGACTTACACCTGACTTCTCTATGGAAAACATGAAAGCCAGAAGGTCCTGGATAGATGTACTGCAGAAAATAAGAGACCATGGATGCAAGCCCAGACTACTACACCCAGCCAAGCTTTCATTCACTGTAAATGGAGAAAAAAATATTTTCCAGGATAAAAACAAATTTAAACAATACATAGCCACAAATCCAGCCTTACAGAAAGTAATAGAAGGAAAATCACAAACCAAGGAGTCCAACAATAACCACAATAACTCAAACATCTAGAGACCCTTCACCAGCACAACTCAAAGAAAGGAAACACACAAACTCCACTACTAAAAAAGTGACCAGAATTAACAACCACTGGTCATTAATATCACTTAATGTCAATGGGCTCAACTCATCAATAAAAAAGGCACAGGCTAAGAGATTGGATACGAAAACAGGATCCAACATTCTGCTCTTTATAAGAAACACACCTTAACCACAAAGACAGGCACCTACTCAGAGTAAAGGGATGGGAAAAGGTTTATCAAGCAAATGGACCTAAGAAACAAGCAGGTTTGGCCATACTAATTTCTAACAAAGTTGACTTCAAATTCAAATCAATCAGAAGAGATGGAGAGGGACATTTTATACTCTTAACAGGAACAATTCATCAGGAGGAAGTCTCAATGAATATCTATGATCCTAATATAAAAGCACCCATGTACGTAAAAGAAACATTACTAAAATTCAAGGCTGGCATCAAACCGCACACACTAATAGTAGGAGACTTCAACACTCCTCTCTCACCAATGGACAGGTCAATCAGACAGAACGCTAACAGAGAAATAAGAGAATTAATGGAGGTAATGAAGCAAATGGACTTAGCAGACGTCTATAGAACATTCCACCCAAATAGGAAAGAATATACCTTCTCTGCAGCTCATGGAACCTTCCCAAAATTGACCACATACTTGGTAACAAAGCAAACTTCCACAGTTAAAAAAAAATATTAGTAATCACCTGTGTCTTATGAGATCACCATGGATGAAAGTTAGAATTCAACAACAATGCTACCCCCAGAGAGCCTACAAACTCATGGAAACTGAACAGTCAACTACTGAACCACACCTGGATCATGGAAGAAATAAAGAAAGAAATTAAAGTCTTCCTCGAATTCAATGAAAACAAAGAAAAAACCTACTCAAACTTATGGGACACTATGAAAGCAGTCCTGAGAGGAAAGTTCATAGCACTAAGTGCCCACTTAAAGAAAACAGAAAAAGCACACATTGGAGACTTAACAGCCCACCATAAAGCTCTAGAAAAAAATAAAAGAAGCAGACTCACCTAGGAGGAGTGGAAGACTGGAAGTAATCAAACTGAGGGCTGAAATCAACAAAATAGAAACACAGAAAACAATACAAAGAATCAATGAAACAAAAAGCTGGTTCCTGGAGAAAATTCACAAGATTGATAAACACCTATCCAAACT